AGGGGGTAAAAGTACTTTAAACTGTATAAATTCAATTGAATAAAATTGGCCAATCACGAGAAAGTTAGCCTATATCCGCTAATGCACTTTTCCGACGATCATTTCCCCAACCATCCGATTAAAATCTGTACAAATGGTGTACAGTATAAATTTCACACAGTTTATATCGAGTACTCGATGCTACTTGAATAATCGATTCATAAAATCATGTCAGGCCAAATTTTAAATTATGGTCTGTTAATTAACAAACGAGGAATACAACTTGCAGATTTGCCAATATGCAAATTTGAAATACAACCTAAAACCATAGAAAAATCTCGAATAAAGTTGATGTTTTCTACAAAGCATATAGAATCGTTTTTATTGAACAATCATATTGATCCTTCAGCAATCAATTTTGAATATGATAAATGGATTTTCGATACTGTTTTCGATGAAAATTTTTTACCAGAAAATTTACCAGTTTACATGGAAATTTTATGCTCACGAGCAGAGTTGATTTTCGAAAATAAAAAAATCAAGCCATCCAATGAGTTAAATAATACAATGGAGCGGGCTCTGAATCATAAATATCCATATCAAGAAATAATAAAAGTATTTAAAGGCTATGGATATTTTTTGCCTAAAAAGATCATTCTTGGTCATAAATTATGTAAAATGACTTATTTGGCCGCAAGAGCAGAACCACGTTTTCTTAAATCAGAAGTGACGGATTTTAATGACTTTGCAACACTTGAGCGTAACATCGTTTTGAATCAATGGGAAGATCTTCTAAAATTACACAATTTAGATACTTCCTTTTTAACATCAATTAATGGTGAGGACGTTACGATAGATAAACTACAAGAATGGGTGGTATCTTGCTTAAAAAATGATCTTAATTCATTACAAATCATCAGTTGGGAAAAATTATGTCCATTATATGAAATATTTGATGAACCGCTTAAACGAAAAATAAAGTTTATTCTAGGATCTGATGATATGTACTACACAAACCCTACGAATTTACAACAGGTGAAGGAAACGAAAGAACTTGGGGACACAAACCCTGTGGAGTTGCAACAGGTGAAGGAGGCGAAAGAACTTGGGGTCAAAGAAAGAGTGCTTAGTGCAGGAGTAATTCCAATCAATACCTTTACTTACCAATATCGTGAAAAATATTCTGATCATCTGAATTCCAGTAATTATAAAATTTTTGGAAAACTTATAACTCAAGATGGTAAACAAATCAGTGCAACAATTAAGTTTCAATCTATGAATAGATTTGGGTTCACCGTATTAATTGAAAATTGCGATTTAGCAGAGTAAGCTTTGTTTTCATCAAATTAATTTTTTTATACTCATTTTATATGATAACTTAGCTATTTCATGTTTTTGGCAGGTTTACGAATTTGAAAATAGTTTGGATGTTGATTGGATTACCATCTGAGATCGGATTTTATAGTCCAGATACACGAAACATTCATATATTGGCGTTGGGTAGTTGCTCATTTGCATATGACAAAATTTTGTCATTGCAAGTTCCTAAAAATCTGCCGACAAGCTCAATTATATGTACAAATCTTACATCTCTATTATTAGATAAAACGAATTTAACAATTAATATTCAAGACTATTGTGATGATGAACTTAATTTATCAATGGATGAGGATGTTGAAAGCGAAATATCCAAAGGAAACAAAGAAACACAATATAAGCTCCAATGGTGTATTATCTGTTTTCCAGAAAGTAATAAAATAAATATCAGTTCTGGTTCAACTAGTACAGCATTTTGCTTAAGTGCAATAGGCCAACCTATTTATGCCACATCCAAAAAAGATATAAACGAAAATTTCAGGTACGTACCCATTGTGTTCAACAATAAATACTTGTATTTAATATAAAAAATCAATATTCTATAAGCTGCTCTTATATCTCACTAAACAAAAGATCTGAATTAAATTTTAGCCAAATGGGAGATTTAGAATTAGTAACTTCGGACAATAAGATTGTTTTATCGACTGCATGGGATATTGAAGATAAATCGCCATTTATTGACATAGATTAAAGTGGACTTAAAGTGAGTTATACAGGTAATATGAAAATGAGAAATCTCGCAGAAATGTATTTAATATGTTACTGTAATCATCGGCTTTAAAAGAATATCATCATAGCTATTTAATTTATTAAAAACCTTTTAATTAAAGATCCTGATGACTATAAAGCTGTAATCGTTCGAGTAAACAACCCAATCCCTTCAGAGTATGGGATATTTTACTTTGAAATTAAAATTATAAACAAGGGAAAAAATGGGTAATATTAATAATTATTTTGTACCATAAACGTCACCTTTGTTCTGGTGATTTTTTATAATCTTTAATTCTATTTTCTTAATAGAATGATTGGAATCGGATGTTGTACAAAGCAAAGTGATAAAAAAATAGACGATTCAAATTATATAAATAATATGCTCATGCCTAGTAATAGCAAATTTTTATTTTATTTTCTTATTAATGTCTATATCATATCTTTTAGAACAGGAAAACAAGGAAAATGAATCATAAGGGTGTGGTTACCATGGTGACAACGGATATTCTTTTTATTCAGGAAGTGGTTGACCATATAGAGAGTCATATACTACTAGTGATATAATTGGATGCTATATAAATTTTAGAAATAAGATAGTATTTTATACTAAAAATGGAATTAACTTAGGTAACCAACATTTAGAATTAAAGTTATATTTTTTAAAACGAATAGACAGAAATTTAATAATTATAAAATATTTTAAGGAATTGCGTGCAATCTACACAACAATTTCAAAGGTATTCTATATCTTTGTGTTGGCTTTAGATCACAAGGCAGGTCAGTAAAAGTGAACTTCGGCAACGAAAAATTTAAATATTCTGGTAAAATTTATTTAAAAGGTTTAACGTATGTGGTTTATATAGAATTTAATCTTGTTTATATATATATTTCAATTAATAGCAATGATTAATGAAGATGTTAGCGTATTTCAATTGCCAGCACTTACTAATAAAAATATTAGCGAACGCCAATGGCGTTCCTTAACAACACTACTAAAAGGTTTCAAAAAAGCAGAAAAGAAAAATGAAAACATTAGTAAAAAATCAAATAATGCATTAACATTGAAAGATCAAGAAAGTGTTTATTTTATTATGAGTGGATATGAAAATATCCTTGTTAATTTAATCGATGAATTAACAAAATCACTAAAAAGAGAGCAAAATAATGTATTTGAATTAAGCTACTAAGGAAAAATATTTTTTATTGTGGGCAAATATGATAAAGCATTTGAAGATTTAACTAGATTGCTAGAAATTGAACCGGATAATACAATAGCATTAAAATATCGAGGAGAAATTAATTATATGATGAAAAGGTATAATGAGTCAATCGTTGACTTGGAGAAATTATTAAGAATTAAACCAAATGATGTATGGGCAAAGAAGGCTTATGAATTAGTTGAGGGGTTGTAAGTATGATATGTAAATTTTAGTAGCTTAAAAAAGCTTAGAAATAAATAATAATTCGACTACCACTTATGTCAATCACAAGTCTGTAAGTACAGTAACAGAATTTTTTTATACGTAATCAATCACTATAACTACATGTATCACTATAGCTCATAAGTACAGTAAACCAGAATTTTTTACAGTAAATCACTATAGAAATCACATTCATTCCAATACAAAACTAACATTAACATAACCATATCTAAATCACTTGTATCACTATAGCTCGTAAGTACAGTAAAGCAGAATTTTTTACGTTTATTCCAATACAACACTAATATAACTGTATCTAAATCACGTGTATCACTGTAGCTCGTAAGTACGATTTTCACGTTCATTCCAATGCAAAACTAAAATAACCATATCTAAATCACTTGTATCACTATAGCGGGTAAGTACAGTAAACCAGAATTTTTACAATAAATCACTACCGCTATGTATAGAAATCATGTTTATTCTAATACAAAACTAACAAACATAAATTACTTGTATCACTATAGTGAGTAAGTATAGTAAACCAGAATTTTTTACTATAAATCACTATAGAGATCACGTTCATTCCAATACAAAACTAACATAGCCATATTTAAATCACTTGTATCCACACAATAGTTGGTAAGTATAGTAAAACAGAATTTTTTACATTCCAATACAAAATGAACATAATTATATCTAAATAACTTGTATCACTATAGTGAGTAAGTACAGTAAACCAATTTTTTACAGCAAATCACAAGTTTATTCCAATACAAAACTAACATAACCATGTCTAAATCACTTTATCACCACAATAGTCGGTAAGAATTTTTTACAGTAAATCACTATAGAATCACGTTCATTCCAATACAAAGCTAACATAACCATATCTAAATCACTTGTATCACCACAATAGTTGGTAAGAATTTTTATAGTACCGTAAATCACTATAGAAATTACGTTCATTTCAATACAAAACTAACATAACCATATCTAAATCACTTGTATCATACAATAGTTAGTAAGTACAGTAAACCAGAATTATTTACAGAAAATCACTATAGAAACACGTTTACTCCAATACAAAACTAACATAACCATATCTAAATCACCACAATAGTTAGTAGGATTTTTTTACAGTAAATCACTATATAAATCACGTTCATTCCAATACAAAACTAACATAACCATATATATAAATCACTTGCATTATTATAGCTAGTAAGTACTGTAAAACAGAATTTTTTACAATAAATCACTATAGAAATTACGTGTATTTCAATACAACACTAACATAACAATATCTAAATCACTTGTATTAATATAGCTCGTAAGTACAATAAGAGAATTTTTTACAGTAAATCACTATAGAAATCACGTTCATTCCAATAAAAAACTAATATAACCATATCTAAATCCTTGTATCACTATAGCTAGTAAGTACAGTAAAACAGAATTTTTTACAGTATATCACATTATACATAGCAACTGCATGAAATATCCGCGGGCACGTGATTTTAAACCAATTATGACACAGCTGCCGGCTTTTCACCCTTATCTTAACGTAAAAAGTTGATTTTTTGATCGTTGCCGATCTGCGGTTTGTTTTGGCCAATGAAATGTTAGCGTATATCATCGGGTACATTTATGTACCCCCCGCCTGATTTGGAAATTACGCTTTCTATCCAATCAGCGTCTATTACATCGAATTTACATGAATGATTGGTGTGTAACGTTAAAATTAAAAAATTGATCGTTTTTTTAAAAAATTGCTCTTATCTTGAAATTTCGCTTATGAAACTAACTTCTGTATTCTAGCAAAAAAAATTCCTTGCGAAATTTTAGTATAGTTTTTTTTTTAACGCCTTACATTTACCCTAACACTAACCCTAATACTAATTGACAGTATTTTTTTTAAAAAAAACAAATACATATCGAAATCATATAAACAACAATGATCATTTCCATTTTGGGCAGGGTACATAGATGTATCCGTATATCATCACGAGACCACGGATTTTTACGCAGTTGCTATGTATAATATAAAACACTATAGACAACACTAATATAATCACTTGTATCACTGTAGCTCGTAAGTACAGTAAAACAGAATTTTTTACAGTAAATCACTATAGAAATCACGTTCATTCCAATACAAAACTAATATAACCATATCAACATCTAAATCACTTGTATCACTATAGCTAGTAAGTACAGTAAAACAGAATTTTTTACAGTAAATCACTATAGAAATTATGTTCATTTCAATACAAAGCTAATATGACCATATCTAAATTACTGGTATCATCACAATAGTCGGTAAGAATTTTTTACAGTAGATTACTATAGAAATCACGTTCATCCCAATTAGTGTTCCACATGGACTGACCGGGAGAGATCTGGATCCGGTCCAAAGATTGAATCGGATTAAAACTTGAATTCGGTCCAGATTCGACCCTGATTCGTCTCTAAAAAAAAAAAATTTCTCTAAGAAAAAATTTGCCCGCTCATCTTTTATGTTGCTTGATTATCTACACTTCCGAATATTTTGACCAATCAGTAAAGCTAACTTATATTTCAGTCTGGATCAGGTGGATCTCAATACGGAACTATATCTACTCAATTATGGGTCCAAACTCGGTCTCCCCACGGACCGGACCGGATCTGGATCAGACCCGGATCTTTTGCAGAATACTAATTCCAATACAAAACTAACAAACAGGCCCCCGAATAATTATAACAGAGGTTATATAGGGTGTTACATATTAAAACAGCCCATTTTTACAATTTTTTAAAAAACTTTTTATTTGATATACATTCAACACAAAAGTTTGTTATAAGCAATAAGGACTAATTGTATAGTAAAAAGAACTTGAAGTAAAAAATTATATATATAGTTAACTCTGTTTATTCTGCAAAAAAATGTACTTAAGGAATTTTATATGTAAAAATTTTTAAAAGTTCAGTTCTTAAAGAGTTATATATTGCTAATCTGAACTTTATAATAAAATTTACAAATGTTCTAGAGCTTTTCATTCAGTTCTTAGAGAATTTATTAAGTGTTCAGTTTAAAGAGATTCAGTTTAAAGAGAGTTAACTGTATATTACTATTTGTAGATCATTTAAATCTGATTTACTCAAAATGGTTTACATGTAAAAATGAGCTGTTTTAATATGTAACACACCATATTTGAACCATTAGCAGTTTTTCTGCAATTTGATTGGATAAAAATTTTTAGCCAATCAAATTGCTTGATTTTGATCTCTGTTAGCTATTTTTCAAATATAACCTCCATC